GAAGATTCAGGTGAACAAAGGGTCCTGAAGCTTAATAGAAGGAGACGGTGGGTGCGCCAGCCGGTGCCGGGCGCCCGCCAGGAGCCTGGAGGAGGGCCTCCCTCTGGGAGCTGTGGGGGGAAGACGGGGACACTCTAGGGAACCCAGAATCGGAGCAAACGTTTCAGGAGGCAGCCCCCTCCCTGGCGACACCACCGATGCCCCTCCCCAGCTCCTGTGCCCGCGGCAGCGTGTCCCAGCTCCTGCCCAGCTCGGTGCTAAGCAAACACATGGGACCCACTATTTCACAGCATCAAATTGCCCACATGAGGGCCTGAGGCCGAAAGGGCAGGTCCTGCAGACACACCCTGGGGACACGCCCTGGGAACACGCCCTGCGGACACGCCCTGAGGGGCACACTGTCATTTTCCTGCCTGCAGCACAGCCGGGCTATTCTTAGGGCCCAGGGACCAGAATTAACTCAGAGGAAGTGCCAGCTGCCTCGCTGGTTTGGGAACTTCTCTAAATATAAGGCTCCAGCCACAAAAATCCCACAGCCAAGCAGGGCTCGGCAGCCTGGCGGGAAACAAGGGCTGGCACACCCCGGGGGCCAGGTGCCTCCAGGCACACGAACTGTCCCGAAACCCCACCCCTGGAGGAAGGAGGCCTCAGGACAGACAGAGAGCGAGCAGGTGAGCAGGCGAGCAGGTAAGCAGGTAAGCAGGTGAGCAGGCTCAAGACAGGAGAACGCTGTCCACAGGCAGCACCCTGGGGCGCTCGAGCCGTTCCTGGTGCGGCCGTGGTGGGCACTCAGTGCCCTTGCCACGTGCACGAACGAGGAGCTCCCCACGGGCCCTGACCCCGAGCCGAACCCCCCCCTCATCGTGACAGACCCACACCCGTCCCTCAATCCCGAGAGGGGCACCCCCTCCAGGCTCACACCTGGGCCGAGCTCACAAGGCTCCCCGTCCTCCAACCACAGCCCCTCGCCGGAAACTGCCCCACCCAGGCTGGCCTTCGCAAGACAACCAAGCCCCAGGGGCAGGTGGCGGCAAGCACGGACAGGCCCAGGGAGGAGAGGGCAGAAGAGGCCAGTCTCCCGGCAACCTCTCCTATTGCTCACCTCCCTCCTGATGGCAGGGATTCCTGTCCTGGGCATGCCCACCCTGCCCGGTTCTCCGGGGCCCCCTCAGCTACGTGCCCACCCTGCCCGGTTCTCCGGGGCCCCCTCAGCTACGTGCCCACCCTGCCCGGTTCTCCGGGGCCACCCGACCAGCTCAGAAAGGCACCTGTGTGACCGCAGGCCCCCTTTGAACAAGCTCCCCACAACCCCCTCCACACCCACCAGCTCGCAGACCCTGCCCACAGGGAGCTGGGACGTCACCCCCCCGCCCCGCCACTCCCCAGGCTCAGGTCCGGGCCCCGGGGAGCCCCGCAGCCACTCACCATGAGGATGCGGCGGTAGCTGTCGCGGTCGATGCCCCAGAGCTTGAGGTCGGTCTTGGCTTTCACGGTGGCCGCCCTGGGGGTGCCGTAGATGAGCGCCAGCTCCCCGAAGCTGCCACCCTCGCTGATGTTGGTCACCCACTCCCCGTTCACGTACACCTGGGGCAGCAAGAGGAAGGTCACGGGACGCGTGGGGTCAGGGACCACACGGCCGCCACCGGAGGCCCTGGCTGGTGGGTGGAACGCCGTGCTCTCCTCCCAGCCCTGGCCACAGTGTCCGCCCCCCAGCCCTGCTCAATCCCCCAGAGGCAGGTGGCCTCTGGTCAGGCTGAGAGGATGGCCTGGGGCTGGAGGTGGGAGCCCCCGGCGGATCTCCACCCCGTTCCCCGTGGACTGGAGATGGGCCTCGCTGGCCTCAGTTTCCCTGACTGCACCCCGATGAGTCCCTCCCGCTCAGCACGTCCATAGGCAGGCGCCCGCCTCTTCATTCATCAACTGCCTCCTCTTCCCGCCCCGGGAGCCCCTACCCTCCCCCACCGCAGCCTGGGTCTCTCCCCGCTGTCCTCCCTGCCGTCAATGGGCCCCGCCAGGCCCCGCCGAGAGGCCAGACAAGATTCCCTTTCAGCCGCGAGGGCGGCTGCACCGCGTTCCCCGTGCCCTGATCCCACTGTGCCCTGGCGCAGGCCCCGCATCCGAGCGGGCACAGCGTGGACTGTGGGTCATGCAGAGCGGCCCGCCCAGGCACAAAGCGGCTTTATTCCTTCCCTCCCGTGTCAATGGGCACGAAGAATGGCCCCCATTGGGGACGTGGGCGCGGCCTGGGGGGACTGGGCTGCCCTGAGTCATGGAAGCCATTCTTGTCACAATCAACGCGTCATTATCTTGGTGAAAAGCGGTGCCCAGAGCTGCCCACGGAGGGAATGCCGGCAGGTGACGACGCCGCGCAGCGGGAGGGGACAGGGACGAGCCGGGAAACGCAAGCAGAGCTTCCTGGGAGTCTGTGCGTCCGTCCCAAGAGCCGGACCAGGGGAGCCTTCCCGCCTCCACCCGGGACCCGCCCCTGCTCCCAGCCTCCCTCAGCCCCCAGCGCCCTCCGCCCAGAGGGGCGTCGGGTCACGGCAAGAAGAAACACCAGCCACAGGACAAGGCCCGAGGGAGCCGGCCCAGGCTGCCCTGTCCCCCCGGAGGCAGCTGAGGACGAGGGCCCATCCAGGGCTCCAGGCAGGAGGGACAGCAGACAGCACGCTCTCCTGTCTTCTCGGAGAGCCCAGAGCCCGGGGGTGGGGTGGGGGCGGTGATGACAGGTCAGGGTGCATCCCGGCGCTGGCACCTCGGGCCCCTCAGCTGGTCTTCCCGACGCCCACGCTCCCCGGAAACCCCGACCCGGAGCTGCACCACGGAAACTTCAACGCAGACGAACCCCGGGTGTGCGGGTCCTCTTTCCCACCGCTCAGGTACAGTGCGGAGTCTCCCGGAGCCCCTGCCAGGGACAGGTCCGTTAGGACCCTCATGCATTCAGGGATCGAGCAGCAAATCCTCCGCTGCCCCCGTGTCGGTGCGCGGGCCCAGCCCACTCCACACAGCGGGACCGGCCTGGGGGGATGGCCGGTTCCGGTTCGGGCTGGGACCCAGAACGCTGGCACGAACGCCACATGGGCTCCCACACCGCCACCCCCGCCCACCCGCAGGGAAATTCCGGGGGTGGCCTTTGCCGCATCCCAGGCCCTCCGGCCAGCTCCCTCGCGCTGTCCCCGCAGAAGCCCCAGCGAGTCTGATGGCACCGAGTCGTCAGGGAGACGCAGCCAGGGGCCTGGGGAGGGGCGGCTTCTCCCCTCACACCCAGGATCCAGGCAGCCACACCCGGAACGGCTGCTGGGCAGGCCGGACGCCCCGTCACCCACCACACGGCACAGGGACCAGCACAGGGGTGTCACGGCAGAGCCAGCGTGACGCTGCCCCCCCAACTCTCCCAGGGCACATCCCTAACGGGGAGGGGGGGGGGCACGGCCGGTGCTGCAGGCAGGACGGGGACCTGGGCCCCGCGGGGGGACACCCAGAGCCCAGGACTGCACGCCCCGCGAGGAGTCAGAGGAAGGCATTGTGCGACCGGACGCCGGCCCAGCACAAAAGGCTGTCTCTCCCGGACAGTGGCCTCTGTCCCCACGGCGTCCGGCCCTGCCCCAGCTGGCACGCACAGGGCTGCTTCTCGCTTTGTTTCATTTTGTTGTTTTCTTCTTCTACTTTTAGAAGAAAAATGGTGGGAGGCCCCACTCGGCCACATTTACGCTATCGCCGTAGACTGTGGCTTCTCTGGTCGAACCCAGAGCCCCCGCCCGGCCGTCTGCGTCCTTTCGTTCGTTCATCCCTTCATTCCTTCATCCATCCGTCCGTTCGTGCACGCGGCAGCCCGAGCGCTGAGGCCCGGAGCCCCGTGCGCTTGGGGCCAGCAGCAGAAGGCAGGGACGCCAGCTCCCGGGACACACTGCTCACCCAGGAGACAGGCTGTGGGCAAAGGATGGTACGAACACACGCGTACACACGAGCCAGGAGAGAACGGGGCAGAGGCTCCGGAAGGTCTTGCACAGACTGTGGAGAGAGGGTCTGAGCAGAGGGCCAGGACGCAGGCCTTGGATGCAGCCACACCACGTGGGGAGATGCCCGTGGGCAGGGAGAGCGTGGACGTTCCTCCGGGAGCCACGGGAGCCACGGGCGGCCCACGGGGCCCGACATGGCTTACATCTGTGCCCTGGGTGCCGTGTGGAGAGCAGCTGGGGCAGCCTGCGGGGGGCAGCGAGGAGCCCAGGGCCCCGACCAGGTCACCAAAGAGCCGCCTGGGACGGGTGGCACCTGTGGACATCGGACACCAGGGACAGGGCCCAGCAGCCGGCGCTGCAGCAGGCGGTTCTGACAGAGGCTCGGGCTGGACAAGCTCTGACCGGACGAGGCTGGAGGTGGAGACGATGCTGAGGGAAGCACAGCAACCTCAATAAAACCGCAGAAGCCGCCACAGGCAGCCCTGGGCTCCTGTCAGCACAGACGGCAGGGGCAGAGCAGCACTGAGAACATCACCCACCTGGCCGTGCCCACCTGGCCGTGCCCACCTGGCTGTGCCCACCTGGCCGTGTCCTCCTGGCCGTGCCCTCCTAGCTGTGTCCTCCTGGCCGTGCCCACCTGGTCATGCCCACCTGGTCATGCCCCAGGAGAAGCTGGGTGCCCGGGGGCGGGGAGGCCCCGCTGTCTCGCTCCATCGCCTGCCCCTGAGCCCAGACGCCACAGAAAATAAAACGCAGCTGAAACAGCTGTCTGGGAACTGGACACGAGCAGCCAGTCACCTGAGCGGCCCACGTGGCCAAGGCAGACACGGTCGTGCGGCCCAGTCCCGCCCCAGCTCCTGCGCCGTCGCCACAGCCGGGGTGAAGGTCACCCCGCGGGCAGCAGGCTCCGCGAGTGCTTTCTAGGTGGTGACAGAGCTCATGGCCCGTCTCCTCCCGCCTCCCGGGCTCCCGCCACCAGGAGTGGGGGCGACTGTGCAGGTGCGTGGGCACCTGGTCCGGGATGTCCCCTTCCCCGCGCCCCCTGGAGGCGCCCCCGGAGGCAGCCCCAGCCACGCCACCTGCTCCTCCCACCAGGAAGCCCAGGTCCCCCCTCAATGGCCTTCAGCCCAGAGCACCTGGCGGCGGATTTGTTTGGGTTTTGCTCGAGGTGCCTCCCCTGGCAAAGGCGTTCCCCCCAAAGCTCCTGTCTGTGCACCTGGGCACGTGGAACAGCCACGGGGGTCCTTTCTCCATCCCTCGGGGTGGCAGGTGGCCGGGCAGGCTCCCTCCATGGAACCCCACATCCATCGTGGCTCAGGGTCCCGGCCTGCCCTATGCCGTCGACCCCACGCGCACGGGGCCCCGAGGGTCTGTGGGTGAGACAGGCCAGAGGGCACCGAGGTGCTGCAGGAAAACACCCAGCCAGCTCTGGGCCGCGGCCACGCGGTGACCTGCATGGTAACTGACAGACGCCCTGAGGGCGGGCGCACCTGCACACCCCCGTTCGCAGCTGCACGTTCCGGCAGCCGACAGGCGGGAGCAGCCAGTGGGCACCGGTGGGTGAACGGACAAGCACTGGGCCATCCAGACCGCGGAGCATCGCTCGGCCTCACACAGGCAGGAAACTGACATCGGCTGCCTGGGCAGGAGCCGGAGGGCATGTGCTTGGGGACGTCCACCCGTCAGGGACACACACTGGGTCCATTCAAGGCCCCTGGAGTCCTCAGATTCACAGGCAGGAAGCAGGAGGGTGGGGCCAGGGCTGGGGAGGGGGAGTGAGTGTTTGATGGAGACAGTCTCAGGTTGGGAAGATGGAAAGTTCCGGAGATGCTGGTGGCGGCGGTTGCACAGCAGTGTGCATGTGCTCACTGCCCCTGAACTGTGCAGCTCAAAATCATCAACGCGGCCCGGCCGGCGCGGCTCAGTGGTTGAGCGTCGACCTAGGAACCAGGAGGTCACGGTTCAATTCCCACTCAGGGCACAGGCCCAGGTTGGGGGCTCGATCCCCAGTGGGGGGCGTGCAGGAGGCGGCTGATCCATGGTTCTCTCTCATCACTGATGTTTCTATCTCTCTCTCCTTCCTTTCTGAAACCAATAAAGTATATATTTTAAAAATCCTCAACACAGTAGGTTTATGTTCTACGTTGTGAGCATCTTACTAACGAGAAAACGGAACGGCCCCAGACGGCCATGTCCCGGGCGCCCTGTCCCAGCCGCTGCGTGAGGCCTCGCTCCCACCGTGGGGGCCGGAGGCTCTCCTCCCTGGTTTCACCCGAGGGAATCCGGGGGAACGGGGGGAGGGTAAGGGGGGCTGAGCCCCACACAAAGGCCGAGGGAGGAGCTGGCATTTCCTCAGCCCACGGGGCCGGGGCCGAGTGCCCTTTTAGCTGGAGATGCCACGTTCCAGGAATAAAACAAGTCGGAAGATGCTTTTATACTTAGAAAGCGGATTATAGCTCTGGGCAACACACAGGCCACGGCAGGCACTGCCACCGTCTCCGGAAAACCACGGTTCCAGCTAAACCTGGTGTTTGTGGCATTTGGTCACCTGGCCGACCCCTCGGGCACCACTGGTCAGAGGGCAGCGCCCACCCACAGCAGGGGGTGCTCAGGGTGCCCCACCCGCTAACAGGCCAGGCTAGGTCCTCAGGGGGCTTCGGGCAGCAGGGGCACCGTGCAGATTCGGGGTCCCCCTCTGCTCCACAGACAGGTGTAGGGTCCGCCGAGCAGGACGGTGGGGGGGGACAGAGGGCCAGACAGGCCACGCCCACCGAGCCCCACCGGCCCGCGCCAGGACTGTGGTCTCATGTGGCCTGTCCTCCGGGAGGACTTACGGGAACACGGAGGCTCAGGTGCCAGCAGCAGGTGACAGGCCTGAGCCTCGGGCCCAAGCGAGGGGTATCTGACCTGCTGTCTGCCCACCGGGCCGGGGGACAGCTCTGGAGACCCCAACGCTGGGCCCCAGGCTCCTTGAAAGAAACAGCCCGGCCGGCGTAGCTCAGTGGTTGAGCGTCAACCTATGAACCCGGAGGTCATGGTTCGATTCCCGCTCAGGGCACAGGCCCGGGTTGTAGGCTCGATCTCCAGCGGGGGGCGTGCAGGCGGGCAGCCGACCAATGATTCTCTCATTGATGTTTCTATCTCTCCCTCTCCCTTCCTCTCTGAAATCAACAAAAATGTCTTTTTTTTTTAATATATTTTATTGATTTTTTACAGAGAGGAAGGGAGAGGGATAGAGAGTTAGAAACATCGATGAGAGAGAAACACCAATCAGCTGCCTCCTGCACATCTCCTACTGGAGATGTGCCCGCAACCCAGGTACATGCCCCTGACCGGAATCGAACCTGGGGCCTTTCAGTCCGCAGGCCGACGCTCTATCCACCGAGCCAAACCGGTTTCGGCAAAAATGTCTTTTTTTAAAAAAAAAAAAAAAGAAAGAAAGAAATGGCAAAGCACTCTGGGCAAAAGGGCCCCCCCCCCCACCCGCTCGCCTAGCAGACCTCAGGTTTCCACGCTCAGCACGGCCCCAGCTTCCCGCACACGATCGGCACCAGGAAGAAGCCTTTGGAATTTAACGGAAAGATTCCCGTGACTCCGAGAACGCAGGAAAGGGAGGCACGTTTCAGGGCGAGGGGCAGTGGGAAGCGAGGTCCGGACCACGTGGGCGCTTGCCGGGGGGCGGCTGAGAGGGGAGCCGGGCCGGCTGGGCCGGGCCTTGGAGGAGGCACAGGGGTTTGCAGGGCAGAGCCGGCGTCAGAGGAGACAGAGGGGTGCAGACGCAGAGGCAAGACCTCCACTCGTGAATTCCCTGCCTACTGGCCACCCCCCCCCCACATCGCCACCCCCAGTGCACACGGGGGGCTGTGCCCGGGCCCAGCACACAGCCAGTGTCCCCTAAACACAGGAGCAAGAATAAACCAGGGAAGCGGAGATCTGGGGCTGGTGAGGGCGGAGGGGGAGCTGGATCCGAACCAGGAAGGAGCCCACACACCCCAGGGCCCCCTCACGCCC